TCCTCAGGTGTAATTAGCATGGGAAGAGAGGAGCTGTGTGTACCCTTAAAGAAGGCAGATTTCCCAGGAGTATTGAGTGATTTTTTTCCCCCTCTGAAAAGGATGTCAAATACGTGGAGGAACATCTCTTCTAACACTATCTAGCTGGGTTTCCATGCTTACCACTCCACTAAAACCATCTCTCAAGGTCAACAGCATTTTCTTTCTTTCTAAATTCAATGGTCATCTTGCTCAACCTTCTAACAGTATCTGACACAGCTACTTTGCACTTGACTTCTGGAAAATACACTTTCCTAATTTTACTACAACCTCCACTTGTATAAACTGAATTATCCCAAGGCATAATTCTTTAAGATTAAGATCTTTAAAAATTCCATAAGATATCTCCTACACCAACATAGTTAAAAATACCATCTACATACTAAGACATTTTTAGTCTCTTCTCTTCCTGGTTTAAAGCAGTTCTGAAATGAGTTTGACAAAAGCAGGGTGTTAGGAGAGGACCTTGAAACATTGGTGGAGGGATGCCAACACAATGGTAGTAAATATAGTAATGGTTTCTGTTTTTGATTTTGTTTCAGGCCTCACCTGGTGATGCTCAGAGGTTATTCCTGGCTCTGCACTGAAGAATCACTCCTATCAAGCTCAGGGGACCATGTAGGATGCCGGATCAAACCTAAGTCGGCTGCATGCAAGGCAAGTACCCAACCCGCCATACTATCACTCTGGCCCCATGGAATTGGAACTGAATGCATGAAACCCTTTTAACAGCACTATAAATCACAGTGGCTGAATAAAAATAAATAAAGGTCATCCTAAGTTTTATTCCTGAACTAAGTTCTTAAGCCACTAGACCATGAACAAATCAGGAAGTGGACATTATTGAAACTCATGCTTAATCAGGGCAAAAGCAAAATACTATGAGATGACAATAAAAAGAGGTCTGAGAAATCTGAAGCCTCAAACCCTCCAATCTATACCAAATTCTATGATTAAGGATAAAGCACCATGAGTTTACTATCTAAAATAAGATAGTCTCTTTAAATTCCTACTATATCCCATTATGTCAAGGTTTATAACCTATACTATGACCCCGCCCCCCAAAAAAGTGGGGATACAGTTCTATCCCCCAATCACAAAATTAGTAAAAAATTCTTTCAGAATTCTGATTCCCATTACCCCCTTTCATCAACAAACCATGACCTTCCTGAATGCCATCCTCATTTTCTTTAATTTCAAATTCTTACGGAAATGCATTTTGAATACCAGAATCATACATGGACACTTACTGTCCATATATTAAGGCTGAAAATTTTGTTTTATTAAACACTGTTTCTTAAATGTTAATATTCATGCTGTGGATCTATGAAAATGCGGATTTTGATTCAGAAGGTCTAGGGCAGAGTCTGAGTGGGCAGTTCTCACAGGTTCCCAGGTGTTGCAAATGCTCCCCACTTCTCAGAAAACACACTGAGCAGAAAGGTTGTAAAAAGCAATGGCACCCACAGGTTTCCTCCAAAGGCCCAATTCTAAAACAATGCTGTTCCTTTTTAAAAAAATATTGTTCTCTATTTTCTAATTTATTTCAGATCTATTTTCTTATCCTCTCTACACTTGCAATTTAACTTCAATGTTATTACTGATATCTTTCCGTTTATTTACTTTTATTGACATCTTGTAAGTTTCCTCCCTGCCTTTTTGCTCTTTCATACTCTCAAAATAATACCTAAAATATAAACAAAGCTGATTTTAAAAAAAAATCTATGTGGCTATGGCTATTTTTATTTCTATGTCCTTTAAATAGATTGTGATTCAACATACACATACCTACTAATTTAAGAAATCCTGCAGGCAAGGATCAAAATGAAGAATGAAAAAAAGGAGAGAGACAGATATAGAGATAGGGTGACAGAGAAACAGAGAAGTATAGGATACAAATATAAATGGGGTGGGACTAAGTTATACCTACTAAAAAAGTCTAAGCAAAATAAATAAGTACTAAAAGTGCTGATATTTTACATAAAATTCTAAAGCTCTACTATTACAAAAAAAGGAAAATGCTAGTACATAAAACAAGCACATTACTCTCTGGGTATAATTAGTTACTTGGTGAGCTTGAAACTTTATTTTTAAAAATGCAGGACCCACACACTCCACTCCCACAAAATTAAAATATTTAAAAAGAGAATTCTAAACCAACCAAATGCTAATTGTGTTAAAGCTAGATCCTACCATCAAGATCTAATTTAATAGGTTTGGCATAATATCCATGCCTGAAAACAATCAAGCCATCCATTCAACTATGATCAAATTAAATTTTCATTCTTGCTCTAACCTTGAGATGCATTAACAATAACATACTTCTCAAGGAAAAAAAGATTCAGGTTGCTGCAATCTGTGGGAAAGAAACTGACCTTACGACTGAAAAATTACCTGATGTGTCTTACCTCCCTTAAGTAAAAAAACTCAAACTTAACCATCTTAAAGTTACGCTTTCAGTACACTGCTAAGAAATATTTCTTAAAAAGAAAGAAGTGCTTGTTTTCAGGATTTTTCATGTATTCCCTAGTTTGGTCACATGTCTATCAAGTCAAAAACTTAAATGTCAACCAAGAAAGAAAGCTGTTTCCCAAAGTGGACGATACAGTCTGGAGTTGCTAAATGATGAGAGGCAGAAATGCTATAGTAGCCTCCCTGCAACTGGGGTGAACGGAGGCACACTCTGTCTGCTCTCTTAAAGAAGGCACATTTTGCAGTGGGGGAAGACAATGAGTGATCTTTTTTTTTCTTTTTTTCTGAAAAGAGGGTATTCGAACAAGTAAGTTTGGAAAATGCTTACCTAGACTATTCTGTCTCCATCCTTTCCAGATCCCCAATTAAACTGACCACTAAGTTCTATGTGTTTTGTTGTTCATTCCATTACCACTCACTGCTTTAGTCAAAGCCTTTTCCCTTACCTTGTTTACTGCAATATCTACCCTAACTGCCTCCAGTCACCCTTTCCATTATGAACCATATAATAGGAGTCAAATGATTTTCTAATATGGAGGCCTAATGTTTCTTCTATTCAAAACCTTTCACTATTATCCCCAGCAACCACCCAAAAGTCCGAGATTTTTATTTATTTTTATTTTGGTTTTGTTTTGACGTCACACCCAGCAGAACTCAGGGGTTCCTTACTCCTGGCTGCACTCAGGAATTACTCCTGGCAGTGCTCAGGGAACCCTATGAGATGCCAGGGATCGAACCTGGGTCAGACACATGCAAGATAAATGCTCTACTCAATGTACTATGTCTCTGGACCTAGTCCAAGCTTTTTATAAGAGCACATAACTTTCCATGATCTGAATCCTGATTCTCAAACATCATATCCCACTGCACTTCCTCCCATACTGCACTTTAAGTCTCATCAATATCAAACTACTATTACTTCATTTGCCAGTACACCCATATTTAATAACTCCATGCTTTTGCATAGGGTTGCTTCACTCTTAACTGTTCTTTCTTTCTCCAATGGCTTCACAGCCCAATTACTATGAAGCTTTCAAAACTATGTTAAGATCCCAGGAAGCCATACCAAAACAATACCTATCCTTAAAGAGTTCACTTTACCATGGCCTACTCTGCCGTCTCTGTACTAATGGCATTTATTACTAATGTGTTTACTAAGTGCTGATACTGTTACAAGCATTTTTCAAACATCAACTAATTTAGTCTTCATAATAATCTTTCCAATGAAGTGGTACCATTATTTCCTTTGAAGATATGAAAACTCAATCACAGAGAAGTTTAAGAAAAAAGAAAAGTGGAGTTCATGCCCAATTCGGTCAGCCTAATCAGTGGCTGAATAAATAGCAGTACTCCTACATTTAAAAAAAAAAAAACCTGTTCCCCAAAGATACCCAACAGGTAAGTAATGGTAAGTAATGGAGACAGATTAAATGCCTACAACATACATACTCATATTATTGCACCTCTCACAATAAATTTAATTATGTAGCTGCCAATACTCTTAACTGTGAGCTCTTAAAAGTGGAGACTATTTAATATTCATCTCTAAAGTCAAAATGCAAAGCAAGTTTAGGCAACCAGATTTATCATTTCTTAAATTGTAATAATTCTAACAAGTATAAGAGAAAAGCAATCAGAAATAAGTATCATAGAAATACTCAAATATGCATCACGGGCTACTTTTTCATCAAAAAAAGGTACTTAAAAGAGAAATCAATAGTTAATACAGACATGAGATTAGAGTCCTGTAGGCAATGAAACGGGCTTATTTTTTCAGTAATACTTAGTCACTGCAATAAATCAAAACTTAAAGGTCCATTTGTTTGAAATAAACTTTTTTCCTCTAAGAATTCTTGTTTATCATTCAAGACAGTGAAAAAGAAAGCCCTAAATTTACTTTGTACAAATGGAAGGAAGCAAATCATAGACCAGCACTACTAATTGCTTCCTTACATTGGCCAAGAAACATATCCCATTAGGCAATTAAAATAAAACACAGATGCCTGACTAAGCATATTACAAAAGAATTTCTAAAGTTGTATGGACTGGCATTCTATTATTCACATAGAGAAAAGTCCTTTATTTTAAGCAAAGAAAAATGCAGCATCGAAACCACAATACAATTTATTACCACACTCCATATAAGTATAGCTTTCTATATTAAATCATACGTTATCAAAACAAAGCATTTTATATTTCAACATTATACTTTAAAATTATGAAAGTCCAAGTTATTCTAATACCAATGATGAAAAAACTAAAGATAAAGTTGACTGATCTGGCAATCAAAGTCCTCTGAGTCACACTGAACTAAAATAATTAAAACCCTTAGGCACAGTACCAGCAACAGTGCACACTACATACACTACTTGGTAGAGTAATCTGCACCCCGCCCAGGTTACATGGGTGTACTACAGACAAGTAAATCTGCTGTCAGATGAGACAGATTAGGCCACAAGACAACAAACTCTACACCAGGCACATCTTACCATTTCTTGGTACACTCCACCATCAACTCCTGGTAGGAGGCCACAAACTGGAACTTGGACGCGTGTTTCCCAACACGCTGCAGTCTCTTCCAAACTGAAGCCATGATGATCAGTCAATATACACGTGAGCAATTATGGGTTAGCAACAGAGTAGCTTTAACAAAGCAGAGGGTCCAGGGCAAAGCAGCTTTGCATGAATGTCTGTACTTAAAAAAAAAAAAAAAAACTCAACTACAACTTGAAATGTTTGGGGTCCATTAGTCTTCTCCCTGTCTCACAGGGTAAATCCCATCGTAGATGAATGGCCCAGTCAATAACTCTATGATATACATGACAGGATGAGTTAGAGGAGGTTCCCTCATGGAGACATCACCATTCCACCGCAGGGGCTCTATGATGTGTATTCTGGAGGACTGAAAAGCAAAACAAAGAAAACACATGAGAAGAGAAGCGTGAGAAGTGACTAATCACCCATGTTAGATAACACTGCAACGGACAACCCCGGCTCTCAGCGTGTTATTGAAACAATGAAACAAAACATCAACCTCAAAAGCCAGTAACAGCAAGGATGCAAGACACCACGGAAGAAAATGTTACTACATAGGAGATGTCGATTACCTGCACACCTCAGGCAATCGTTATCAACAATTCAGACACGCAAGTCGGGGCTCTCCCTGGCTCAAGCATCCCTCCCCCTTCCAGCATCACTGAAGGGCGAGCAGAGCGGGAAAGTCTAGGGATGCTGTTTAATGTCCACCGGCAGTGTGAGGGCGGAGTGGAGCATTTTATATAAACTTTGTTTTTTCAGCCGGTAATTAACAGCCTCGAGTCACAGAATATGTGCTTGGAACAAATTAGGGGTGGAATGCTGTTGTTCACTCGGAGAGAAAAATAAATGGGGAAAGGAGCAGAAGGAAATCTCCAGGCAGAGGGAGGGCAATGTCCGGGCTGCAGGCCACTTAGGTAGGTTCTCCTTCACCTTCGCCGCCAAACCCAGGGAAATGGAAACTCTAGCCTGGGCGAGAAGCAATGACCAGCAGGGCGAAGGGCACAGTGAGGGGTGCGGTGCCTCCTCCCCCATCCCCAAGGAACAGTCAGTCCGCCGGCGCCTCCAAGCCTCCAGCACAGAGCCCAGACCCCTGCCCCCAGCGGAGGCAGGCGGTGGCTCGCCCACAGTCCCTGTCACCCAAGCGATGCCAGCAGACCCCAGCCCGGCGCCCGGCCCCGCCGCACGTCCACTCCCGCCCCCTCCTCACACCTCCAGTCCCGCTGTCGGGCTGAGTCTGGCCCCGTTCCCTCCTCAGAGCCGCTCCTCCATCGCCGCCGCAGCAGCAGCCGCCGCCGCCACCGAGTCCTCCATCCCCGCCGGAGCCACATGGAACAGAAGAGGCAGCCGCGGCGCTCGCGGGAGCCGGGGTCTGCAGCCCCTCGGGCGGCCGGCGCGCCTCACGCCCGCCCCCTCCCGGACGGAACTGCCCCGCGACCGTCCCCCACCCTGCAAAACCCTGCCAGAGCCGCCGCTCAGCGCCCAGCACCCCCTCCCCCGCCTTCCTCCTCCGCCACCATCATTACCTCCCCCGCCGCACCTCTCACACTAACCCTACCCACGGCGGCTCACCCTCAGTCCGCCCCGCCGCCATTGGCCAGGCCCCGACAGCGCCCCGCCCACCTTGGCGCCGGGCCTTGGAGCGGCGAGGGCGCTCCATTGGCTGACTTCGGTGCCCATCGCAGGGGCTCCACCCCCTAGGTCTGGCGGTGTTTTTCCCTTAGCCTGGAACGCGGTACGGTCTACCCTGCTTTAAAAAAAAAAAAAATTGGAACCCGCTGGAGGACGATCCCGCCCATTCGTCTGATTGGGTTGGAGTTATGGAAGCGATAGGCGGGAGGAGTAAAGAGTGTTTATAGTGAACTGGAAGATGATTGCAGAAGGTGGATGTCTGTCAAAGGCGTGCCGGGTGCCGGGCGGAGTTTCTGGCTCCAGTCTGCGGTAGCAGAGTCGGGCTAGGGGGCCGAGCTGCAGCGGTTGGGCCTGTGGCTCCAGAGGTTTTCTCTCCTGTACTCTACTATTCCCATCCAGGAGCACTAGCAACTACGGTGCGTGCACACACAGCTTTTTACCACCTCGTCGGTTTTTCCCCCCAACTAATTGAATGAACTATGATCTTGCCAGGCCTCCTGACTTTACAATTCAGTCTTTAACGGGAGTCAATAAACTGACCTAAACAGTATTTCAAGTGCAGTTTCTTCTGTCTCTTTAATGTTTCTTTGAATGAATCTTGGTTTCTCCCCTTCGTTCTTTACATTTTTGGATTTGGGAGTGGCTGGCATGTAAGAAGGTAACACAGGCAAAGGAGAGGAGGACACCTAACCTGGTTAAATAATCTAGGACCATTTTGAGGCTAGAAAGAAAGCTAGAGACACTTTCGCACGGAAGGAAAAATACACTATCACAAAATCACAAAAATTTGCTTTCGATTTGAGGCTATTCACAGATCTCTGTTGTAATAGGACAATGGATGAAATTTCGGTGAAATCCCAACTTGTAAGGAATAGTGTACTGTAGAAAAGATTGGAGAAGAATATCAGAAGCAGAAGCACCCTATAAGCAATCTGCAAATAACTAGCATGAAAAATAAAATAATCAGGGAAACAAAAAATGGTCACTCTAGAGAGTTTGAAAGGTTTAGGGTCTAAGGAAAAGTTCTTTGAGAGACAGAACAGGAGCGTTGATGGGTAAGAACTTAGCACACCTGTAGTCATGGAATTGGGGCAAGAGAGAACCAGGAAAGATGGAGAGACAAATAGATCTGAATATAGTACCCAATTCTATTTCCATCTTCAGTGAAGAATGATCTCGTTATATATACTACAAGTGCACTGTGTTATTTTTCTATAGCTTAGTTTTAAAATACTAAACTAACCATAGTAATTCTATTAATACTAATTTTGTGTACATCTTAGTTTTCAGGTGTTCTTCTGAGTGGTTTACTAAGTCCCTGTAACCTATGCCCATCATGATTTTATATAGTAATACAAACTCTTCATTAACTAAGTGTAAGGACTTTTTTTTTTTAATGACTAATTTAGGCTTGCTCTTCAAGCTTGTGTTCTCCCTCAAATACATATCTCTCTTGCTTGTCTCCATGTCTCTTTGCTTGCTTTTTGTACTCTGGACTAGCCTGAGTTCTCTCTTGAAAAAGTATTTCCTCTTTTTCTCTCCCTTTATATCTTTCTAAGTAAGTTTCAATAAAAACCATTTTGCCAGGCCAGGGAGAGAGTACATCGGGTTGGGTGCTTGCCTTGAACATCGCTGATCCGGGTTCCAACCATGGCTTCCCAATGGTTCCCCAAGACCTGTCAGGAGTGATCCCTGAGCTCAGAACCAGGAATAAGATCTAAGAAGACCTGATGTGGCCCAACAATAAACAAAAACTCCTATCTTTATTTACAGGGGGCGGGGGAAGATTGAATTTAAATAAATTGTCATAAATTAATTTTATTATTGTTGAAACAAAACAATAAAAGTAAACTTGATGATTTTGGTTTTCTCAGTGCTGACATTTATGCTTTTAATGTGCAATTTCTGCACCTGCAAAATGCATCTTCTACCGCTGATCCCATGTCACTTGTAATCAGCTTCTTCTTCCCCTTCCCCAAAAGCCCCCTGTGTTTGGTGATCTCAGTTCTATACATAAAGTCCAAGGGTTTCTTACCATTTGTTACTGTCTATTCCTTTGTTTAATTTATTCATATGCCAGTTAAACTCTTTTGAACTTAATTCTCCTCAGGAACAACACACCTGATGATCAAGACCACATGATGGTCAAGAGGGTTTTGCATCCTATTTACTATTTTTCTTCAGAAGTTCTTAAGCTTTGTCAAATGGTTTTCCTGGTTTCTTTTAATACTTTGTTCTTCATCAAAAAGAAAAAAAAACTTTTTATTACAAAATTATATTAAAAGTTATGTTTTAAATAAATGTGAATTCTGTTAGCAGATATGATAGTTAAGAAGAAACCCAAGTTAGAAGTAAAAGAATTGGAACCCAAAAGAGAGTATGGCAGAAAACATGTGCTTGTTTTGCATGCAGCAGACCTGGATTCTATCACTTAAGCACCAACAGGTATGGCCCAAAACCAAAAATAAAACAAAAAAATTAAAGGAATAAAGAGTAAATTGAGGGGCCAAAGAGATAGTACAGAGGGTGGCAGATCCAGGTTTGATACCTGGCACCACATTTGGTCCCCTGAGCACCACCAGGAATGATCCCTAAACAAGGAGCCAGAAGTAATAGCAGAGTGTCACAGTAACAAGAAACGTAAACTTGAGTGCCAGGCAGAAAGCTCGAAGAGTTGAAGTGCAAGGCCAAGAGTTTTAGCATCAGCATCGCAATGTCTCCCTGATTGTTGTCAACAGCACACTGCTGTGTCAAGCACCGCTGAAATATCAGTAATGCCACAGTAGGAATCAATAGGTCCATGGTCTTCAGTACTGTTGGGGAAGTCCAAAAAGAATTGAATAAACTTGACATTGTGCTGCTGACTTCAAGTTCATAGGTTGATACCTGATGACTCCCCCAAGCAACTACTTCTTCCTTCAAATCTTGTTTAAAATAACCTGTCTGCCAACTATATTTGTTGATGATTTTTATGTAGATTTTTCAAAGATCTTTTGTCCACTTTGATGACAGGTGTTGAAAAATAACTGAGTATTGATCATATTAAATCCTACTAATAGTACATAAAAGAAACAACTCCTGCTTTAGTGAGTTTTCAGAAACAAATACTCAGCATGCAAGTAACACCAATTACTTAACATCTCTGAATTCAGCTGCCTATTCTACCAAACAAATATTCATGCCAACTTTCTGAGATGTTGAGAAAAAGGAAGTCCTGGAAGATTCTGGTACAAAGCAAACAGTCAATTAACAGTAATAATGCACATTATTATGCTTGGAAGCAAAAGTGAACTGTAAAAAAAGCAGATCTTTAAGAATACTTAAGCATTTTAGAGTAACTACTAAAATTCACTTGCCCTCAATCTTCACTACAAATGTTCATGCCTTATAATACCTGAATTCTTTTGACATGCCTGAAAATGCCTCTTTCTTTAAGGCCCCATTTCTCCTATCTACTGATACCTTATAAGACTTTTTTCCCAGTATACTCAGTTCTTGATTTATCATCTCCTTTCCCAGGTCAAGCGTATGCAACAGTCCTAAGAATGTTAGTTACTTTGACTGTCCTATTCATTTCTGACAATACTGGCCACATTTTTATATATACTTTATATAACATAAGATTCTACATTAATTTTTTTTAAATTTGCCCTTAAGTATATTCCCATTCCTGAGCTGGAGAGATAGCTTAATGGATAGATTCCATGATTTACATCAGGTTCAGGTCTCCAGCACCACATGATCCCTCAAGGACCACTCAGAATGAAGGCTGAGCATTTAGCAGAGATTGCCCCTGGGCACCGCCAGGTGTGGCTCCAAAACCAAAATCAAGTTTGTAGATAGATTCTGGTAATCAAGCTTACAACAAAGATACAATGTAAAAAAATAGAGATTCTAAGTTTGTAAAATGCACACACTTAGTTACCATTTTTAGTGAAAAAGTATCAGTTTGTTTTTATTTGGGGGAGGGGGATGGGGGAATACCCTGTGGTGTTCAGGACTTACTCTCAGCAGGCTCAGGAAATCATATGTGGTCCCAGGGTTTACACCTGGGTTGGCCAAATACAAGGAGAATGTTCTCGCCTCTGTACTATTTTTCCATTTGGATTTTACAGTTTTTGTAATAGAAACTTCCAGAGGTATTATTGCAGGATTTAACTGCTAATATAATTTATCTGTGCCTAATAATAGTAATAAGATTTACTCCCAAGAATAATGCTGCACACTTTTGTATTTTTTCCAGTTACCATAGCAGTGATACCATACACAACAATATTAGTGCATTTTAACTGCTAATGGAATTATTGCTTTTAAACCCATGACAAACAAATTTCTCCTGACAATCCTACAATAAATTGCTTTGTTCTTAAAAAACTCACTGTGTCAGGCTAATGCTTTTGAAATACTAACCAATGGTTTTTGTAGCAGTCATACTGTCTTCTTAGTTTACAGTTTTTTCCATCCCCTACCCCACCTCCAGACATCAGAGATCCCTCAGCATTATACCTATTCTCATTTAACTGATATTTGCTCATTTTTAAGAAAAGGAGATAAATATATATATAAAGAAATAGAGATATTTTTTCCCCTTTGCCTTTTGACTTTGAAAAGTCTAACCCATTAGGAAGGAATGAAATGGGTATAATTAGAGACCTTCACTGTTCAATCTAGACATTGTGCACTTGAAATGTGCTTACTCCAAGTTGAGATATTCTGTAAGCATAATATTTATGTGTGTGTGTGTATATATATACACATATATATTTCAAAGACTTAATTTAATATGTGTGCAAAAATAATTTAATATGCCTTATTAATCATTATATATGG